TGATTGACAGTGGATTGATTGACAGCGGATTGATTGACAGCGGATTGATTGACAGTGGGTTGATTGACAGCGGATTGATTAACAGCGGATTGATTGACAGCGGATTGATTGACAGTGGATTCATTGACAGTGGGTTGATTGACAGTGGGTTGATTGACAGCGGATTGATTAACAGTGGATTGATTAACAGCGGATTGATTGACAGTGGATTGATTGACAGCAGATTGATTGACAGCGGATTGATTGACAGCGGATTGATTGACAGCGGATTGATTGACAGCGGATTGATTAACAGCGGATTGATTGACAGCGGATTGATTGACAGCGGATTGATTGACAGTGGATTGATTGACAGCGGATTGATTGACAGCGGATTGATTGACAGTGGATTGATTGACAGCGGATTGATTGATTGACAGTAGCAGATTGATTAACAGCGGATTGATTAACAGCGGATTGATTGACAGTAGCAGATTGATTAACAGCGGATTGATTAACAGCGGATTGATTAACAGCGGATTGATTGACAGTAGCAGATTGATTAACAGTGGATTGATTGACAGCGGATTGATTGACAGCGGATTGATTAACAGCGGATTGATTGACAGTAGCAGATTGCTTAACAGCGGATTGATTAACAGCGGATTGATTGACAGTAGCAGATTGATTGACAGCGGATTGATTAACAGCGGATTGATTGACAGTGGATTGATTGCCAGCGGATTGATTGACAGCGGATTGATTGACAGGGGATTGATTGACAGCGGATTGATTGACAGCGGATTGATTGACAGCGGATTGATTGACAGCGGATTGATTGACAGCGGATTGATTAACAGCGGATTGATTGACAGCGGATTGATTGACAGCGGATTGATTGACAGTGGATTGATTGACAGCGGATTGATTGACAGCGGATTGATTGACAGTAGCAGATTGATTGACAGCGGATTGATTGACAGCGGATTGATTGACAGCGGATTGATTGACAGCGGATTGATTGACAGTAGCAGATTGATTGACAGCACATTGATTGACAGCTCGTTCTCCTCGTTTAGCAGACTGTCATTAGTTTGTTCTGCTGTGGTCGGGACTCGTCATGTTCTGGAGGAATCGAGAATTTCCCCTCATTAAACCGAACATCTTCACGTCACGGTTTCACTTCCACACGCGTGTGAAGAAGCAGACGGTTAGATCAGGATCGTGCGTGACCTTTGACCTCACCGTCGGGCTTCATTTCTGAAGCGCTACTAGTATATAATCTTCCTGTTTTCCCTTTGATTTAAGATGATTTCTCTGACTCCATTGGCTGATATCTGTTGTGTTGTGATCTCTAACTCACTCATTCTGCTTCTGCTCCAGGACCTGCATCTGGATTTGAGGATGTTTAGATATTGGTGCTGTAAAAACATTAGTTTTAGCACTGCCTGTACATTACGGATATATCTGAGATGGAGCTCAGAGACTGAAAGCAGTGTGTGTGTGTGTGTGTGTGTGTGTGTGTGTGTGTGTGTGTGTGTGTGCGTGTGTGTGCGTGTGTGTGTGTGCGCGTGTGTGTGTGTGTGTGACGGGTCGAAGTCCTCTGTGACTGTGATCTCTATCAGCTGCTCACCTTCGCTCAGCAGAAACACACAGCAAACACATTCATTCATCTCGGCCTTTACACACGCACACACACACACACACACACACACACACACACACACACACAGCAGGAGACTTGAAGAAGCAGCTTTACCTCGATCATTAATCACTGAGAACGAGAATCAGTGTTTGTGTGCGTTTATTAGTAATTCACATTATGAATATTTGATGGGGATCATGATGACATCACAGGATCTCTGCTGTGTGTTCACTGGCGGCCAATAAGAGTCCAGGATCTCTGCTGTGTGTTCACTGGCAGCCAATCAGAGTCCAGGATATCTGCCGTGTGTTCACTGGCGGCCAATAAGAGTCCAGGATCTCTGCCGTGTGTTCACTGGCGGCCAATAAGAGTCCAGGATCTCTGCCGTGTGTTCACTGGCGCCCAATAAGAGTCCAGGATCTCTGCCGTGTGTTCACTGGCGCCCAATAAGAGTCCAGGATCTCTGCCGTGTGTTCACTGGCGGCCAATAAGAGTCCAGGATCTCTGCCGTGTGTTCACTGGCGGCCAATAAGAGTCCAGGATCTCTGCCGTGTGTTCACTGGCGGCCAATAAGAGTCCAGGATCTCTGCCGTGTGTTCACTGGCGGCCAATAAGAGTCCAGGATCTCTGCCGTGTGTTCACTGGCGGCCAATAAGAGTCCAGGATCTCTGCCGTGTGTTCACTGGCGGCCAATAAGAGTCCAGGATCTCTGCCGTGTGTTCACTGGCGCCCAATAAGAGTCCAGGATCTCTGCCGTGTGTTCACTGGCGGCCAATAAGAGTCCAGGATCTCTGCTGTGTGTTCACTGGCGGCCAATAAGAGTCCAGGATCTCTGCCGTGTGTTCACTGGCGGCCAATAAGAGTCCAGGATCTCTG